ATAAGAAATTTACAAAATCAAATTGATCTTCTTGAAACTGATATATCCATAAAAAATAGCATTATTGAGTCTACTCAGGAAAATCTTAGAATCACCAGTTTGTCAAATTCATCCTTGTCTGCTGAAATTGACGATGTTAAAAATCTTTTGATTAAAGAACAAACTGTGCTCCACACTTGGGCAAAATCTCATAAGAATGCCAATTATATTATCTCAGCTCAAATTCCTCATTCTTGTGAAAAAATTCTTGGGGGTAATTTTGCCGAAGCTGAAAAGGTTTTTAAATCACAAGAAAAGGAATCTGAGGTCTATTCCATGAATGAGATGAAAAACAATTTCAAAAATAAGTTTGTCAGTAATTCTTTTGTTAATCAAAGTTTAATTGATGAATATTGTACTATTAATTCTGATGGTATTACTGAGTGTAATATTGAAATTACCGGAATTGATCCTACATCTTATCCTGCACATCTTGTTAGACCAACTCCTCTAACTGAGAATATTATTGATTTTCCCATCTCTAATGGAGTGTTTCATGCTGTTCATGAACAACTTAAGCACTTCCCTGATTGCAATCCATCTGAGAATAAGTCAAAATCAGATACTGACCGTTCATCTCCTAACACTGATCAAATTCTTTCTGACACTGATCTCAGTCGTGACTCAGTGATTAACAAAAGGACTGAAAGCTCTATTGGTGAATCTTTCATATCAAAATGTGTTAAATCAAAAAATTTGCTCACCAAGAAGAACTTTGGAACTAGAATTTGTTACAGATGTGGTGATTCCTCTCACAAGATCAGTGAATGTTCTTTTGACAAATCATCCTCAAGAGCTGAAAATATTAAAGTTAGGAATGAAAAATGGACTCTTAAGTCAAACTCTTTAAACTGTCTTCCTAAGGAGTGTTATAATTTATTTTCAAATAACTTTGTGAATGACCCATCTTCGAATGGGTCAGTGTGTTCTAACTAGTTGCTCAGCACTGCAGGGTCAGGAGCATCTTTGGTACTTAGACAGTGGTTGCTCAAGGCATATGACAGGATCAAAGTCTCTCCTGGAAGATTATGTTAAGAAAACTGGTCCTGCAGTTACCTATGGAGACAATGGAAAGGGGGTCACTAAGGGATATGGAAATATCAAATGCAACAACGTGGTTTTTCAAAACGTTTCATATGTTAAGGGTCTCAAACACAATCTTATTTCTATCAGTCAATTGTGTGATGCTAACTATGAAGTTCACTTTACAAAGAAGGAAGGAAGAGTTGTAAACACTGACAAAAACATCGTACTCTCAGCAAGTAGAAAAGATGATATATATGTTCTTGACATGTTCTCAAGTGACAAGGAACTGATGCAATGTTTCTTTACAAAGTCTCAGACGAATCTCAACTGGATTTGGCACAAAAGGTTTTCTCATCTGAACTTCAAGAATCTATCTAAGATTTCCAAGCAAGATCTAGTTAGAGGGCTCCCTAAATTTAGCGTTGTGAAAGACAAGATGTGTTCAGCATGTGAACAAGGAAAACAAACCAAGTCCTCTTTCAAGCCCAAGTCATGTTCCAGTATATCAGTCCCTCTTCATCTACTCCACATGGATCTGTTTGGACCTATTCCTGTTCGTTCTATAGGTGGAAATAAGTATACTCTAGTGATCGTTGATGAGTTCACTCGATTTACTTGGGTAGTTTTCTTGAAGAAGAAAAGTCATGCTGCACAGGAAATTATCTCACTGATTCGTAAAGATGAGACACTGACAGGTCTTAAAGTCAAGCAACTGAGAAGTGATCATGGTACTGAGTTCCGAAACTCAACTCTTGAAGAATTTTGTGATCATAAAGGAATTGGACAAAACTTCTCAGCTCCTCGTACTCCTCAGCAAACTGGTGTTGCTGAACGAAGAAATAGAACACTGATTGAGGCAGGAAGAACCTTGATGATTCATGCTGGTCTTCCCATGTCCTTTTGGGCTGAAGCTGTCAATACAACATGTTTTACTCAGAATCGATCTCTAATTCACAGGATTCACAAGAAGACTCCATATGAAATGCTGAAAGATCGAAAACCAGATGTATCCTTTTTTCATGTGTTCGGATGCATTTGTTATATTCTAAATCAGCGTGACCCAAGATCCAAGTTTGAACCTAAAGCTGATAAAGGCATTTTTGTTGGGTACTCATATATTTCAAAGGCTTTTCGTGTTTTTCATGTGAACAGGCAATGTATTGAAGAATCCATTCATGTGAAGTTTGGTGAGGAATCATACACTGATGAAAAAGTCACTCATTCTCCTTCTATCTTTCAAGAGCTTCTCTCTTGTCCATTCGATGAAGCTCCTTCTGTTGAAGATAAGATTGATTCCTCTGATCCTATCATTCCAGTTCCATGTTCCTTGAATCAAGATATTGCAGCCACATCCGCAGATGATTCATTAGGTGCTGATGAAACTCTTGAAGCTGAAGATTCTCCTGAAACTGATAATGTGTCAGTATCTATTCCTCCGGAATCAACATCAGTCATTGTACATCGGGATCATCCTGTTGATCGAATTATAGGGAATATTCATGATGGTGTCCGAACCAGATCTAGTGTACTTAATAACTTTTGCATGTATGTTAACTTTGTTTCAATGATCTTACCTGACAAGGTACACACAGCTCTTCAAGATGCTGATTGGATCAAGGTCATGCAAGAAGAACTGAATGAGTTTGAAAGGCACAAAGTTTGGACTCTTGTCCCAAGACCATCTAGAAAGACTATCACTGGAACTCGCTGGGTCTATCGTAACAAGGTTGATAAAGATGGAATCATTACTCGAAACAAGGCAAGGCTTGTGGCTCAAGGGTTTACTCAAATTGAATCCATCGACTATGGGGAAACTTTTGCCCCAGTTGCTCGCATTGAAGCTATCAGACTGTTTCTCGCATACGCATCCTACATGAACTTCATTGTCTATCAGATGGATGTGAAAACAGCATTCCTTCATGGTGTGTTAGAAGAAGAAGTTTTCCTAAGTCAGCCCCCAGGCTTTGTAGACAAAGATCATCTTGATTACGTGTACCGGTTAGACAAAGCTGTTTATGGACTGAAGCAAGCCCCTAGGGCTTGGTATGAGACACTGACATCGTATCTGCTTGAAAATGGATACAGACGAGGAGCAATCGACAACACTCTCTTCGTCAAAAAGTAAAGGCTCAGATATGGTTCTTGTTCAAATTTATGTCGATGACATTATTTTTGGCTCTCCAAATGAGACACTGAGCAAGGAATTTGCTGAAATCATGTCTAAAAGGTTCGAAATGAGCATGATGGGAAAGATGACCTTTTTCTTAGGTCTTGAGGTTCAGCAACAAAAGACAGGTATTTCCATTTGCCAAAGTAAATATATCTCTGACCTGCTTGTTAAGTATTCTCTCAGTGACTGCAAACCAGCATCTACCCCGGTATCTAAGACTGATAAACTATACGCTGATCCAACTGGAACTGATGTCAATCACTCTCTGTATCGAGGAATGATTGGATCCCTCTTGTATCTCACAGCAAGTCGTCCTGATATCATGTTTGGAACCATTCTCTGTGCTTGATTCCAAGCCAATCCCAAAGAATCTCACCTCATGGCTGTCAAACGTATTTTTTGATACTTAAATGGAACTCAAAACCTTGCACTGTGGTATCCTCGCGACTCAGCATTTGAAATTTATGGATACACTGACTCAGATTATGCAGGATGCAATTTAGACAAAAAGAGTACATCCGGTGGATGTCACTTCCTTGGCAACCGTCTCATCAGCTGGTCTAGCAAGAAGCAAACATCAGTTGCCATCTCAACTGCAGAGGCTGAGTATGTTGCCGCTGGGAGATGTTGTGCTCAGCTCTTATGGATTCAAAATCAGCTTCTCGACTATGGGTTCAAGTTCTCAAAGACTCCCATCTATTGTGACAACACCAGTGCCATTCAGATCACACAAAATCTTGTTCAGCACTCAAAGACAAAGCATATCGAGATCAGACATCACTTCATCAGAGATAATGTTGAAAAAGGAAAAGTTGTGCTTGAACATGTCAAGACTTCGGAGCAACTTGCTGATATCTTCACAAAGGCACTGGATTCTCAATCAACTGCTCACATTATTGGAGAGCTGGGAATGATTTCTGTGTAATTGATTTTGATGTTTAATTGTGCTAATGTTTGATTTTGTCTTATAAGCTGATGTACATTGTGTTGATAATAACATACTGATGATATTTGCTACTGAGCACTTTGGTTTGATTTCTTATCCTTATCTCTTCTTCAAATCTTCTAAATAAAAGTTTAATGATTCACTGTATTAAACCATACACTGATAACGACTTGAAACTCTTTGCCGATGGTTATATCAAAACACCAAGATCTATCACACGCAACTACCTCTTCTCACCAATCTAACACTAACTCTGTGATTCAGTGTGCCAAAACACACGCTGATGAGAGTCTAAAAATCTTTGCCGATGGTTAGACCAAAACACCAAGGTTTATCACACGCAACAATCCATTCTTTACCCTCCTATTATTCAGTGTCTAATGATTCAGTAAGATAAACCACTCACTGATGAAGTCACAACACTCTGTGCCGATGGTTAGATAATGTAACTAGTATCTATCACACGCACCAATCACCTTGCTAACCCTGAATAAGCAAGCTGTACTTCGAATTGACGGAGAAACATTTTCAGCATGTAACATTTGTGACACTAAGCTCAGCGCTTCCGCAAACATTGATTAACGCTTCCCCTTCAGTCAACGGCTCTTTTCTCCAACGGCTACTTTATATTCTGACAGGTTGCTACGATGCGCCGTTCTTATTAATGAAGATAATCATCATCTGTTTAATCAAGATAATCATTACCTTTTAAAAAACCCTTTTCATTCCATATTTAAACCTCTCTCCTCTTCGGTTTATCTTTTCCTCCCAAAATTCTTGAACCTCTCTCAAAACCCTAGAACTCTAAAATACTCTCAAATGGCGGCATCTCTGTTCACATACTCCTCAACCTCTCGAAGGGTCATTCCTGCCCCAAACTCTCCTCCTCTTCCCATTCACATCAAGGCCAGCAATGTCATCTTCAACCCTGACATTCCAGAAGTGCATCGAGGTCTTGGACTCGATGATTTCGTAAATTTCTTGGCTTCTTGCCGCCTTCGATATGCCATCAGTGATTTACCATCCGAGTTCTTCCCTGAACACGTATGTGAGTTCTACTATACTGCAACAGTCAACGAAGAAAACAATGCCATCACCGGAACCATTGGCCATGGCAGACACTCTGTCTTCATCACCGCAGAACTTCTCAGTGCTGCTTTATGGTTACCAATTTTCGAACCCTTTTCTGAACCTCCTACTATTGAAAGATGTAAACGCATGTTTGATCAATTGGGCTATGATCATTCAAAAGCTAGCACTCGATCAGCTCTTATTCTGCGTTAGTGCATGACCCCAGGCTGGAAGTTCTTCACTGGTGCTTTATGCAAGTGTGTGGGTCATAAGTCTCGCAGTGGTGACCAACTGAGCAATTATGAGCAACAAGTTGTCTGCTCCCTTCTTCTCAACAAAAGACTGGATTATGGGGCTCTTTTCTTTGATCAGCTTATTCAGCTTCTACGTGCAAATGTGCGTGCTGATCATGTACCCTTTCCACGCTGGATTGCCTTGGTGTTCGAAAAATTCTTCGCCCCGGAATACTTTTCTCACTCTGGGAATCCAATTCAATGCCCTTGAATGTCAGTTCGTATGTATCAGGATGATCCTTTGGATACTGACATTGGAATCTTGGATAGGATGCGAGAATGGATTGCGAATCCATACACTGTGCCCTCTCTCACCGTTGACACTGATGAAGGAGGTACTGATGGTAATCATATGGATCATGCTGATCAAGAGGTGGACCATCATGATAGTGAACATTTCTCCCCTCAACTTTCTCACCACGTCATGTCAGACACTGGCAAAGTCTCCTCAGCACCACAGGATTTCATGCCTCAGGGGGAGCATCCATCTCAGGGGGAGCATCCCTCACAAGGGGAGCATCAGTCTCAGGGGGAGCATCCGTCACCAGTAGCTCATCACTTCTCTCCAAGGATGCCTCCTAGCTCTCCAGTTGCCCCAGGTTCCTCAATGGTTCAACTTCCGGCTTCAGCATTTTCAGAACTGATGTCACTAACTCGGGACATCAGTCAGCGTCTGCTTCGAATTGAGGCTGATGTTCAACAAATCAAGGAGGTACTATTACTTACTCCTCCTTCTAGTCCCAAATCTGATGATGCTCAAAAAGGGGGAGATACTGATGATGATGTTGGATATGGTGTCTAAGTCCATAACTATTTCTGGTATGTACTTGACCCGACCCGGCATGGTCCATTTGGGTTGCATGGCACCATGCAATTGGATAGACTAAATGAGAGAAATAACACTTGGAGATTATTAATATATTATAAGTTCTAATATATTAATAATATTATTTGATTAGTTTGATCAATAATTAATTTAGAATTAATTAAGTGGTCAAAAGAGAACTAATTAAATATATGGGTTGATTATGTAAATCATCCATATCTTGTATAGTGGGCTAAGAGGCTCCATGGATTATCAAGTTGGGTTCTACCCATAGGATGCTCCATGGATGCTCCATGGGAGTTACAAACCCATGGGTCATGGAAATGAAGAGTCATGACACATTAGGGTTTACATGGTGTAACCCTAGATGTGTCAACACTATATAAGAATCATATTCTCCACCAAAATGGCTACACTAAGGAAACAAGAGGGCTTGGCCGATTTCAAGAAGTGTGTGTTCTCTCATAAGTTTTTCCAAGAGCATTTGGTGTTGTGTGAAGCATTTGAGGCATCACACTTGGGGTGCTAGGCTCACAAGGTTCCAAGGAACACAAGCAACAACAAGGTAAGTTATTCTATTTATCATTCAAGTTAAAATTGTTCCCCATGTATGCTAGATAGGAATATAGCCTTGGAATTCAACTTTGCATGATAATTAGACAAACATAGATCCAAGGTTATTAGGGTTGCATGTACACTTAGGAAGTGTTAGATTGCTCAAAACCTAACAGTGGTATCAGAGCCTAGGCTTGTTTGCTTTTTATTTGTGCTTAAAAGTTGAAAAATAAAAAGTCGAAAATCTTGCTGTCTACGAATGGACTCGTCGAGTCCATAAGGGGACTCGTCGAGTTCACGTGTATCTTCAACCAACTCGGCGAGTAAGTTCATGCACTCGGCGAGTAGGGTCGACAAGTTGCAGAATTTCGACTTTAGTTGCTGGAAATGAATTAGAAACATTACCCTAAACTTTTTGGTACTTGAAAACTTGTTTTAGATGGTGTAATGTCTTTGATAATTCATTTACAACAACTAGTTATCAAAATTACAAAGTTTTAAGTGTAATTTTTGATTTATGAATGAGTTCATATTCATGTTCTTGTTCTTATGATGTTTTAGATGATCATAGGAATTATTTGTAACCTATGTGGTAGATTAATTCATGATCATAATGTGTTTTAATGGAGTCCATAACTTGTCCTCAAGTTATGGAAAACGAGGAGTCACACTTGAATTAAAACCATTAAAAAAAACACAAGAGTTAGAAAAATGAAGAGTCTTCATTTTATTACTCTATTACACTCATAAGTTACAAGAAATGAAAAGTTTTGAAAGTTACAAAACTTGCCCTCAAGTTTTGGAACAAGTAAAGTTAAGTTCAAACTTTAGTTCCAACCCCTAGAATTTTAAAAGTTAAAATTCAACCCTTATACTTATATTATGATGATTTATATATATATATATATATATATATATATATATATATATATATATATATATATATATATATATATATATATATATATATATATATGTATAAGAACAAAGTTGTCTTACCGCTAGTACGCCTCATTCACGAAGCTGGTCTATAAGGTGGGTATAAGGTTGTTGCCTATAAAATGGTGACTTAATGGGTGTCTACTCTCACCCACCGCTTGCTTGACTGGTGGAGGGTCGTTAGCCGAACGGGTAAGACAAGGACTTATAAACTCTCATTCAAAGTATGATGAATATAATAAAGTAACTAAATGTTTTATTAAATTCCCAATCTTAGTTACTTTAGGAAAATGTGAATAAGGTGCTAATCCATGAAATTACACTTTACACTTTGTCTAAGTCGTTGGTGGAGCGTGTGTGGTTAACTGGCACACTAACTTGGACTTAACAAGGGAGGTAAAGGGTGACTTAAGGTTTATTATAGTATCGGTGGAGCGTGTGTGGTTTACCGGCACATCGATTGAGTGATAAACTTTAAGGGTACCAAGTGATTTGCATGGTTACTTCACACCTCGTTTTGTGATCCTCGGTATCGCAGTCACAAAACTTGGAGGGCACACCCGAGATTGAAACATACCTTTGAAAAAGCTCATTGAATCTCAAAGAATCTAGGAATTTCTAGGAGTCGAACAAAACCTTATACTTAAATGTTTCGGTTTTCGTGGTGGAAATTGGTGAATCGTCATTCACCTACCTTTCAAATATGGTATAGCTTAGACTACGCATACCTCTTCTAAGCTATGTTTATATGATTGGATCCTAGCCTTAATATGACATTTGGGTGTTTATTAAGGACTCTCATAGATCTATACTAAACTTGTTCTCTTCTTTCAGATGTCTTCAAACAATGCTGCTTCTGGCTCGAATCCTAATGGCTCCTTTACTCTTATGAGCTTGTGTGGGAAAGTTACCTTTGATGGATCCAACTTCAATGAGTGGATCAGAAACATCAGGATGATAACCCGCTACGAGGACAAAGAATATGTCCTTGACAAGGAGCTTAAGGAAATTGATGAGTCCACTGCAACTCCCCAGGAGATCGCTGACTTTCATACTCATGAAAGAGATGCGACCAAGGTGGCTTGCATCATGTTGGCCACAATGACAGCTGAACTCCAAAAGTCTTATGAAGATTTCTACCCTTATGAAATGCACCAAGATTTGATGGAAAGATACCATCAAAGTGCACGACAAGAGAGGTATGAGATCATCTGCTCCATGATAACAGCCATGATGAAGGACGGGGAATCCGTCAACAGCCACATGCAGAAAATGCAAAGATATGTGGATCATTTGCTGAAGCTTAATGTGAACTTCCCTGAGGAGCTTGCAATAGATATCATTTTGCACTCCTTACCATCGTGCTATGATCAATTCCGCATGACATATCACATGAACAAGGAAGAGGTCACCCTCAGCAAACTTCAGGGACTTCTCAAGACCGCAGAAACAGGTCTTAAGGGGAAGTCGGTTGCTATCACTCCTACTCCAAACTCAACTCCGGTTTGGCAATCGGGAAAAGTCGAGGGAGGAAGAGAAAGAGATCTTCGAAGGGTACCAAGGCTCGGACCCTTGATGGCTCTTCTTCAAGTGGAACCAAGAAAGGTTTCATTACTCCTTCTTCTGACCCAAAAGAGGCTGAATGCTTCTATTGCCATGAAAAGGCTCATTGGAAGCGGAACTGCCCAAAATACCAGCAGGATGTGAAGGATGGGAAAGTCAAACCCAACCATGCAGGTATTTACACTATCATTTCTAATAACTCACCCCATTCTAAATCTTGGGTCCTTGATACCGGTTGTGGTATTCATATTTGTTGTGACTTGCAGGGACTAAGAAGAAGTGAGGATGTGGAGCAAGGAAGAATAAACTTGATCATGGGGAATAGGAAAGCTTCACCTGTCACCAAGATTGGAGTTTATACTTTATCGCTAAGTAGTGGGTTTAGTTTAGATTTGAATAAATGTTGTTACTCGCCAGGAATGGCAAGAAATATTATTTCCTTTCATGCTTTGTACAAACAAGGGTTTACCTTTTCGTTTAATAATGAAGTTGGTTCTATTGATGCTTTCTTTAATAATGTTCTTTATTTTAAAGCATTACCTTGTGATGGTGTGTATGAAGCTGTGTCTGTTGTAGATAACTTAGGAAATAATGTTTTGTGTATTGATTCTACTACTAATAATAACTTGGATAAAGCATCATTATGGCATTGTCGTCTTGGACATATAAGCAAGAAACGCATAGGCCAACTCCAAAAGGATGGAGTCTTGGAGTCGTTTGACCTAAAGTCAGATGATAGTTGCGAATCATGCTTACTTGGAAAAATGACAAAGTCACCCTTCACAGGCTCGTGTGAAAGGGGTGAAGGTTTGTTGGACCTTATACACACGGATGTGTGTGGCCATTCAAACATGCCACAAGGGATGCTAATCGTTATTATTTGACTTTTACTGATGATTACAGTAGATATGGATATGTCTACTTAATCAAACATAAGTCAGAGACTTTCGAGAGGTTTAAGGAATTTAAACAGGAAGTCGAGAATCAATTGGGCAGGAACATTAAGATGCTTCGATCCGATCGAGGTGGTGAGTATCTTAGTTCAGAGTTCCTCGACTATCTAAGGGAATGTGGGATTGTCTCACAATTGACACCTCCCAGGACACCGCAGTTGAATGGTGTGGCTGAGAGGCGTAATCGAACCTTGTTAGACATGGTTCGTTCCATGATGAGTCGAGCTTCGCTACCAATCTCATTCTGGGGGTATGCCTTAGAGACTGCCGCCCATATTCTTAATCTAGTCCCTACAAAGAAAGTTGCCAAAACTCCTCACGAGATGTGGACTGGTAAAGTACCTAAACTAGACCACATCAAGATTTGGGGTTGCG